GAACAGTGGATGAGGGCAAAAAATTCTGAGGGTGGTATCCAGATGGTGTGTAATAGAAAACCACAAGAGCTGGAAAATTACATCGGTGATTTTTTTTTTTTTTCCCCCTAATAAAATACCAGGACAGTCTAAATGGGACTCAGTACGGATAAGAATGAAGTGCCTGACGTAGGTTGGAATAATCAGCTACCCAAATCTGAGATGAAGAAAAACATAATAGATGTTACAGCTGCAGAAATAGGTTTACAATAGATCACAACATTATATGCTTCAATACTAGCATATCACACAAACAATTTTAAAGTTTAGTTGTTTACATATAAATAAATATACATAATATTAATATTTTAAATCTTACTACTGTGAAGTATATGTATGTATAATTACTAGAAATGGCTAAAGAGATACACACAGACCTGCGTGCATAGCAGAATTAATCATGTGATGCACATAAATTAAACCTTTATTTATAGTAAATCTAGTAAGACTTTACTAGAGGTTTTTATCGTATTCACATATGCTAAATTAGGTACCTGTCTTGGAATGTAGTCTCCTAATCTTCCAATGTAGCCAGATGGGTGTTGTATAAGGGTGTTCACACAGACTGTTAAATAGTGTGACAGCATCTATTAGTCTTGTCTGTGGATCACTTGCTGGAGGAGGTTGTCAGACACAGCTGATAAAATCAAGGATCCCATCTCCCACCGTAGGTGCCTAAAGCTATGCAGTGTGAATAGCCCCGATTTTCTCCTCTATGGAAATGAAGTTTCAAGAAAAGTGTGGACCAGTTAAAATAGGACAGAAGAAAATATTTAAAAGGATCAAAATTCTCTAAAATATAACAATATAAACAACTGGGTAGGAACTGGGCTGCTTTGATCTGGAGAAAGAAGAATCCAGAGAAAGAAAAGGGAAAGCATAAAATATAATGGGCTGCAATTTTGCAAAGGAAAGTTTGTTGTTTGACTCTAGCAAAACTTTCCGAAGTAAAGAATTTTTATATATGTGAGTAGAAGTTTACAAGAACATGTGGGAGAGACATATCCAGGAGAGTTTGAATACATGCACTCTCATCTTGAGCTGGGGTAATGGGCTAAATATAATTTCAAAGTTCTTCTAATCCCTATTTTCTGTGTTTTATAGGTGAAAGAACACCCAGATTTTAAGACTGATTCATGAAAAAAAATAATAAAAATCGTCATTATGATCACATATAAGTGAGGGTCCATGACAGGATTTATATATTTCTTGTATGATAGCCATGATAAGATGACATTCTAAAGATTCTTGGCTTTCATATACCACATAAATGATAGCATAAATGGTAACTGTATTGCAAATCTTTCTATCTTCTGCGTGTTACGTATTTGATAATACAATTTAGTAATTTGTCGTTGAAAAATCACTTTAAAAGGAAAGCATACTTCAATTAGCATTTCATTTATCAATACCAAAATACAGTTGCACACTGTTAGTTTTGTTTTTTTTTAAAAAAATATCTCTCCTAACAGACAATAAAGTGTTATCAGCAGTATTGTGATAAGACTGAGATGAATGCATAGCTACTTGTAGGTTTAGAAAGGCAGCTCAGCAGCTTTTGGAGACTATGGCCTTCAAGCATAAATGGTTTTTAAATATATTGCTTTACACTTTTGTATGAGTTTTGAATTCTGAATAGCAGCAGGTATCAAAATACTTTAGTATAAATGTATAACCACAATCTTCAGTCCATTTTTGTATTGGTTTTGGGTTTTTTTCCCAGTATGACTATATTTAGAACTAACATTGTATAATGCTTTACAAATCACATTTGTAAATATGTGTCTAATGATAAAGTAAGCATTAATACTGAACTACAAAGAAAAAGAAAGCAATAAATCCATTGGAAGCTAGCAGTTCTGATAAACTTCTATTTAAATGTGAAATTACAGAATGTGTATTAACTAAATATCCAAACCCACCATTATTCATAGGTAGAACATGTGATTCACAAACAACAGGACAGTGTTTCACTTCTTTACACTCACCAACTTCATAGAGCTAGCTAATTCCACTTTAAAAAGCAGTGGACCAATATTAAGAAAGTTATTAAGAATTGATACAATGCCATATGGTGAAAAGTCAGACAGATGGTATAGATATTATAGTTTGTCAAATAAAGAGTGTCCTTAGTTGCATTAAAGTTACTGATTTAAGTACCTTTGGCATGCTATAATTTTGGTTCTTTCGATTAACAAGATGTTTCAATTAGACTCTTAGGTATACCAAAGCTGGAATATAAACATTTCTTCTAGACTAATAATTATGTCTTCTCTAATTTTCATGCACAGAATGTACAATAAACATTTTGAAAGAATTTTGCATAAGTAGCATAAATATCACGTAGTAACATGAAGGAAGTATCTACAAAAATATGTGTGCATTTGCGTGTTGAACTTGCATGTTTGTGTACATGTATTTGGGCAAACAAATTAGGCAATCATGCATAAATGTTATTTTGTGTAAAAAATTAATATTTTCTTGCAATCTGATGCAGCTTTGCAGATAACAAGGGCACAGGTGGTGTATTAGATTCTTCACTTGTTATTCTTTAAAATGTCACTTAAAGTGCTGCTTTTAATCATGTGGGTTTTCCCTATTTGAACAGTATAGCTTGCAATTGTTTTCATTAATTTATATAAAATATATTGTGCACACACCAAAAATCTCACAGTAATGATACATTTTTCAAAAATGGCATGTGAATATCAATAATCATTTACATTAACATACTGTAATCGTGCAGAGTTCTAAACAGGAACTCTTCAATTCTGTTAGGTGCATTTGATTTGACATCGTAAATCCTCCAGACTTGTTCTCGTAGGGCATATGAGTGGCTGAGTATAACTGCCTGCCAAAAATGAAAGATTAACTCTTTTTAGGAGTTATCATGTAATACCAGCTGGAACTGGCATAAGATCATATTAATGAGAGTGAATTTGGAATAAGTCTGAAGCATTTCGACAGGAGAATTATAAGACTTTGAGAAGGAAAACTGATACATCACTTCCAAAATACAAGCAAATATTATAGATTAACAACATCTTTTAGATTTAAGACTAGTTTCCAGGAAAATACCACTCTAGAGGTTTGGCTGATTTCTGAAGCTTTTGACTTCTAGAAGAGACTATGAGAAAATTAAAATTATATCAGATATCCTGACTAGATTTAATTGCAGTTGAATTATCTTGTAGTTTACCAACAATTATCCTTTCTTTTTCATCTTTTTTTTTTTTCTTTTAAATATATCTTTTAATTTATGTCTCCCACCACCCTAGCAAAATAGCAGTTGCTCAGGTAGATCGACCTGGTGAAGTAATATGGCAGAAAATCAAGGCATTTGGCCCATTGTGATTTACAGACAAGGTATATTGAAAAGAATTTGGAATTTGGAGCTATGAGTAAAGTATGGGTTTAAGTTGTAGGCAAGCAGATAAATTAACATAAGCAGCAGCTGAAAATTAACTGGTCACTTTCTACATTTTATTGAAATTTTAAAGTGTTTTTTTAGCTGCACTTTTACTAGATCAATGCATCGTGCCAGCCTAAAATTCTGCTGGAGATTTTAAAATTTGTTCCAATTTAATTGGCCTCATGCAAATCTTGTAGCATACCATTTTTACAGAACAGCAGAACAAACAATGCCTTCCCATCCTTCCTGAGAAAGAGAAAAAAATGTTCAAAAATGGCATGAGAATATTTGCCAAGGCATTTATTGCACATTGAGTTGCAGTTGAAATCTGTTATTTGAAAGATGAAAATTTCTGCAGTTGTTAGTTATTTCATATCTCAAGAAACACTTAATACATGTGGCTGTAATAACATGACTGCTTACATTGACTTCTCTGTGACTTCATTCAAGAGAGAAAGTTTAAACACTTCAGGATTTAGACCCTACTTATTTATCTGCCATGGGATTCAGTATTCCCCTACAGGGCAATGCCATTATTACAAAGCCAACTTGCTTAGGCAGAGACAATTATCTACTTTATGAAACTATTTGCCAGTTGATAGATCTCTTCCTCTCATTTACGTTTCAGGAAATGAAACAGATAGATCTATTCACAGTTGGTCGATTAGCCTTTTTATTTTCATGCCTGCCGCTCCTGTTTGCTGCTTGCTTGTTTCTCAGACCCTGTGAAACATTTATGAATGCTGCCTTTTATAAG